AAGGCAGGATACGGCCCTGTATGTGACACCCTGAGATTTAACCCCTTCCACATTCATATGAGAAAATCCAGAGCCAAGTTGGCAGCAGAATGCAGCAAGCACCCTGACTTTCAGAAAAATACCCTAGTGCTCTATGCCAGAGGCTCGTGTGGCCAACATCTGTTACAGGTGGTTTGTCAACTCAGAATAAATGGCTTGTGGGAGGGATCAAAAGATTATTCCATGAAACACAAAAATTTTATAAAATTCAAACTTCAGTGTCTATAAATACAGGCTTATGGGAACGTGGTCAAACACTAATTTACTCATCACCAGCTGCTGGTTTTGCACTTAGCTGGGAGGGACAAGTATTTATGAGGCTGCATGGGCAGGTATTTCAGTACTTGAAATATTCACCACCCAGCCCTTTACAGAAGAGATCGCTTACTGCTACTTTTTGCATGCTCTGAAATCTCACATATGTGTGAACCATCCACAGAGTCTGATAAAATTCAGTTTCTGTTTCAGTTGGTATGGGGTAAAGCCTGAGATTCTGCTATATTTCTGCCAATAACCAGGGAATGCTGGTTGGACTGCTGGTCCACAGACCCCACGTTTTGATAGGGAGAAGACTCTGGAGGGTCTCAAAGTGTGGGCCAAACCAAGAGAATCAGCAGCAAGCAGAAGGCAGAAGGGGGACACTCAGGCCTCCCCAAACCTATTCAGAGATTCTGGGTGCAGTCAAGCACACTAGGTTCCAGCAAGAGTCCAAGTGACTCTGAAGCATGCTTGTTTCAGTCTCCCATCACCACTGCAGCTCCTGTGCAGGTCCAGGCCTGGGAGGTGGGCGGTAAGCTGACAAAAGCCACAGTCTGAATAAGCACATTTTGCAAATGCTGACAAGGCAGGAATTTGCTCAAGCATTCTCCCTGCAGCTTACCGGAGACGGAGCAGTCAAAGGTCTAAGAGAAAAGCTGCCTAGTTATGAAAACGTGTGATTTCAGTTCACAGGAACTTCCCAGAAGAACATACACAGTTACATCTGGTCTGGGCAGGGGACTGGCTCCAGCGTCTCCCATGGCTACTCAAACCTAAGGATGCTCAAGTCCCTTACAGGAAACGGCAGAGTATCTGCATATAACCTGTGCAATCCTTCCATACGCTTTAAATCATGAATCATCTCTGTATTATTACAATACCTAACAGTGTAAATGCTGTGTAAATGGCTATCATCTTTTCTTATCTCCAGTTGGTTCAGCCTGTGGATGATGCGCCACAGCGACAGAGGGCAAGTGTACATGCCAGCATAACAAAGGAGGAACGGACACTGCTAGCACAGCATTAAAGAAGCACATTCAGGGCATGGTAGCGTGCATCTGCAGTCCCAGATACTCTGGAGGCTGAAGCAGGAGAACCGCTTGAACCTAGGCATTTATGACCAGCTGGGCAACATAGTAAGATCCTGTCTGAAGGTGGGAAATGAAAGAGGAAGAGGAGGAAGAGAAGCAGAAACTTCTGGGACCAGGTGTGTACCTTAGTGGTGGAGCATGTGCTCAACCCCCAGCACAAATTTAAAAAAAAAAAAAAGACACCATTAATAATACAAAACGACAGAAATAAAACAACAAACACAGGTGAGTAGGGAAGGCCAGGTACCACGGCTGTTTAACTGTAACCTGAACCATTGATCCTTGGGACTGTTTTTTTTTTTCTTTCTTTCTTTCTTTTTTTTTTTTTTTTTGCCAGTATCATGCTATTTTTATCACAGTAGCTCTGTAGTATAATTTTATGTCAGGGATTGTGATGCTCCCTGCCTTGCCTTTGTTGCCCAGAATTGCTTTTGCTAGTCTGATTGCAAATGAATTTTGCCAGTTCTGATTGCAAATGAATTTTCAGATTGTTTTCTCTACTTCTGTGAGGTATGTTATTGGTATTTTGATCAGGATTGCATTAAATCTATGTAACAATTTTGGAAATACGGCCATTTTCACTATACTATTTCTTCCTACCCAAGATCAAGGGCTATCTTTCCATTTTCTGGTATCTTTTGATCTTTTTCAGAGTTTCAATGTAGCGGTCTTTTACTTCCTTCATTATATTGGTTCCTAAGAATTTCTCTTTTTTTGATGCTATTGTAAAAGGTGTAGTTTTCCTAATTTCTCTCTCTGTGAGTTTGTCATCTGTGTACAGAATGCTTTTGATTTTTGAGTGCTGACTTTGTATCTAGCTATGCTACTGAATTTGGTTATTTAAATTTAAAGTCTTTTCATGGAGTTTTTTGGGTCTTCTATGTAGAGTATCATGTCATCTGTGAATAATGATGATTTAACTTCTTCCTCTCCTATCTTTATTCTTTTAATTTCTTTCTCTTGTCTAATTGCTCTGGTTAATGTTTCCAGAACTACACTGAATAAGAGTGGTGATAGTGGACATCCTTGTTTTGTTTCTGATTTTTACAGTGAAACAGAACACTAAACCTGCTGGAAGAAAAAACAGGTAGAACTCTTGAAGACATAGGTGTAGGCAGAGATTTAAAAACAAAACCCTGATCACACAGGAAATATTATAAAGAATCAACAACTGGAATCTCATGTTATTAAAAAGCTTTTGCACAGCAAAGAAACCACCAACAGAGTGATGAGACAACACACAGAATGGGAAAAAAATTTGCCAGCTCTTCTTCAGACAAAGGACTAATATCTAGAATATATAAAGAACTCAAGAAAACCAGACACCTCATCTTTAAAGACCCAATCCAGAAATGGGCATCTGAAATGAATAGACACTTCTCAGATGAACAAGTACCAATGGCAAATAAATACATGAAAAATGTTCAACATCGCTGGTCATTTGAGAGATGCAAATTAAAACACTGAGATTCCATCTCACTACAAAAAGAATGACTATTATCAAGAAATCAACCAATACCAAATGCTGGTGGGGCTGTGGGGGAAAAAAGGAACCCTTCTCCACTGTTAGTGGGAATGTACATTGATGCAACCACTGTGGAAATCCGTGTGGAGACTCCTGGAAACACTAAAACTCATGGTTCCATTTCACCCAGCTATTCCCCTTCTTGGTACCTTCCTGAAAGAATTACAAGCGTTTTACCATAGCAATATATGCATATCCATGTTGATAGCAGCACAGTTTGTAATAGCTAAATCTTGAAAACAGCCCAAATGCCCATCAGTGGATGAATAAAGGAAATATGGTTTTTTATACAATGGAATACTACTCAGCCATAAAGAATGAGATTTCCAGGTGCATTCTATATAGATGCACCTTGAGACTATACTCAAGTGACATACATTGGACACACATGTTTAAATATTGCATTGTTTCTCTGGTGTGAGAAACCAGACGAGTAAATAATGAGGACCAAAATGTATAACAGATACTGTATTGGGAAACAGGAAGAAAATGTTCAAATACAAAGAGGAACAAGGGAGTGGGGAGGTGAAAGGAAAGGAAAAGGAACAAAAGAGACTAGAAGGAAAAAAAATGGGAACAAAGCTAATGTAAATAAGGAGGGGAAGAGGGTTAAAGGGAGGGGAGGGGACTGGGGAAAAAAGAAGAATCAAAATATATATGTACAGGTACAAATCTCTGAAGATGAATGTGATCACTGTGTATATCTAAAATGTACCAATAAAATTAATTTTAAAAAGACACACTGCCATGAGTCTCTTTCAAAACACTCCCCCTTCCTTTGGCCACCCTTGTCCCATTGTTCCCACCCCTTTCTGAAGTAGCTCTGAAAGTTCTCTTTCGTGAGTGTCTTTAGTTCCAACGCTGTGTTGCCTCATGGTCACTTTGACTATGAGAAAGAGCCAGAAGTGCATGGTACTAGAACTGGTGAGTAAGGTGGATGAGGACACAGGATAACGTTTTTACAAGGCTGTCTCTCTTATGGATGGCACTCAGCAGCAGCATTTGCCATATTTTTTATCACACAGTGTAAAGATACTCAAGAAAAGACACAGAACTACTTTGGAAAATGGCAAGAATGATAAGTATATTCAAAGCAAGGGGGAATATTTTTGAGGGGGATTAATGGAAATGTGCCTTTTGCTGTAATAAATTTTAAAAATTTAAACATATACCGTATGTTGTTATGCCCTGTATAGTATGAATCCATTTGAATACATTAAAAATATATTTTAAAAACCCTATAGGCTTAAATTTATTTACCCAAATAGATACACAGAACTCTAACAACCACAATAGTTCATTTACAAGTTAACTCTTTATAAGATATTAACAAGGCAACCAATTTTACACATTATTTGTCAAGATTCCTGAAATTTTTTAATACTAAACTAGTACTTGTTGAGTAGCTACTGGGCACGATTTTATTTTATTTTTGTTTTTTTTTAGACAAGATCTCACAATGTAGTTCAGTCTGAACTTGAACTCACTATATAACTCAGGCTGGCTTCAAACTAGCAGCGATCTTCCTGCCTCAGCCTCCAGAGTGCTGGGATTATAGGTGTGTGTTACCACACCTATGATACAGCAGTCAACAGAAAAAGCAACCCCTGCCTACCTAGTGCAGAAACAGACAAAAACAAAATGACAAGTCAACATTGATAGTGTGCGCCTGGCAGTGCCACTGAACCCATGGTCCACTGGTCACCCACGTATGATTTATGACCAGCTGTAATGAGGTAAGAAGAAGGGACTACACTGTAGACCCATTATGACACTAAGCATGCTGTCTAGTTCGGCTAAAGTGTTTTTATTGCAAGACTTTCCAGATGAAGGGAGCAGAGACTGGCTCATACCCTGCCACACTCTTTATCCCACAGCAAGCATGTAACGAACAGTGCCTTAGCTGGCTGGGGAGAAGCTGCAAGGGCCAAGAATAAAATAAAAGGGGGCTGGAGAGTGGTGTCAATCTTACAAATCAGCAGTCAGAAAAGGCCTTGTGGAAACAGTGACATTTTCAAAATATCTGGGTAGAAAAACCAAAGAAAACATAAAGCAGTGTGATCCATGAGAAATGGGGCTCCACTCACCAGAAAAGGTGTGCAGACCCAGGTGAAGGTCCCCACGGCCGCCAGGTAGGCAGATTTCTTCAGCACCTTCAGCTCCTCCTGCCTGATGGCCATCACCTTGTCCTTGAACGCCAGCTCCCATGCGTACAGCTTCAGCACTTTGATCCCGTTGAGAATTTCATTCATGAGCTTAATACGATTGTCTTTGCTCTTCATGTGAGCCACCTTCACAGAGAGGGGCGATGGATGGTCACTGAGGATAGGTCACTCACCTCCAACCTGCTGTGTCACTTCATCACTCAATGGCACCAACTACTAAATGCGGGTCTCCCTGGATGGTGGGAGGCTGGCCCAGCAACCCCTGTGGGCCTATGCTTGGCCTGAGACCACCCCAAAACACTCTTCTCTCAGGAAAGAAAAAGCGGCTCTGCATGCTGCTAGACTAAACACAGGAGAAACCCATTCAATTTAGAACCAAGGAATAGAAGTGAAAAAGACCTCCGGAATGTGCACAAGAAAGGACCTGGGTTCTATTCTGCTGATAAAACAGCACAGGGCGTGGTATCACTTAGTTTCTCCACTTTCTCAGTTGGTGTGCAACCAGTTTATGTCTGTTAAAACCTGAAATGTTTCCACACATCTCAGGTGGGCAGTGCTTCTGACCAATGGGTGCCCATGTTGTACAGCTGGTTAAATATCTTAACGCCACCCGGCTTTTTCCACCAGCCAAGCACTGCTCTAAGCACTTCACACACATTCAGCTGTTTAACGCAGACCTGCCAGTTTGAGCCACCGGTACTACATGCATGACTGTCCCATGGGGCGGCTTATACCACTGTGATACAAGTGATACAGTCATGCATGTACCACAATGGCTCAAGCATCCTGGTAGCGAGATGCATGAATCACGGCCCCGTTGTGAAAATGTTAGTGCTCACCAGGACCATGCAGGTCACCCCTAGGTGCCAGATGGGACATTCTTAAGCAACATGACCCGGACACCAGTGATGGCTGCTGTTTCAGAGGTGCACAATGGGAGAAGCTACACAGCCAGGGAATGAGAGGTGACACGACCCAAGCCTGCTGCCTTGCCTCTCCAACCGGCCCCACTCTCCAGGGCTTCTCCTCCCACCTGGCCCACATCTTGGAACTCAACCTCCTACAGATGACAGGTGGGGCCAGCGGCACTCATGTGAAATTCCACAGGCACATCACATACCCATCACTAGAGAGGACAGAAATAAACACCTCTCTCATGCACCAGCAGGCACCAGTTCAAGGAAATGAATTCACACTACATGGCATAGCACAGACAGAACCCTGAGGTATGCTACCAAATTATAAAACCATGCCGGTATGCTGGCCCATTTGGGTAAAAATATACAGGGTAATAATATCACACCAAACTTAAATGACATAGTTCAGCACATAGTTCAACAGATCTGTACATAAAGACACTGAAAATTCTCAAAGGACTCATTTCAATGTGTTCATAGTGTTTGAGAGGATAGAAAAGGGGATATTAGATATGGTATTTGAACTTTTTATAACGAGAAAATACCTTACTACTGAGTATTTAAAAACTTAAAAAATACAAAGTATCTCTAAAAATAAAATTTAACACTATGAACAGCATAAAGTAAGAGCTCAGCAAAGAAAAAGCCAGGCATAGTAGTACATGTGTGCAATCTCAGCATTAAGGAAGCTGAGACAGGAGGATCACTGTGAGTTTAAGATCAGCCTGACTATATATGAGTTCAAATCTACCCTGAACTACATAGTGAGACCTTGTCTCAGAAAAAACAAAGAGCTCAGTAGGGGGAAAGTAGATGCTAATTTTTACTCAACTCTTAAAGACACAGCAATATAAAAATGAGTACTTCTGTGGGAAGATGGAACCTCCTGGAAGCTCCCAGATGCCTCCATTTCCATTACTGGTTCACTCAGGGTCTGACATTCTCAGGAGCCTGGACCTCAGCTGCCAGTGAGGTCAGCCAGGAAGCACTACTGCCCACACCATTCAGGGAAGCAGAACGGGGAAGGGGGCCCAGGCATCTGCATTTGCTAAGTTCCCCAGGTGATTCCAACAGGCGGGGGAGACGGAGGGCCCCGGGCCTGAGCAGGGCCCCTTGGCCAATGCTCATGTGTAAAGGCCTCAGGCCAGTGCCCTTGTGGGTCCTGGCGAGGACAGGCACCTACCTGATAGGTCTTGGTCTTCATTGCCATCACAGCATTAAAGGGCACCATGAGGATCATCACAGCCACCCCAGCCAGGACTGAGGGACCCAGGTTCTAGAGAAAGACAGAAGACAGTCATTCAACAAACAGGAGAGAACAAGGGCCTCCACGTTCTGCACAGGCCACCTGCTATACACAGATTCTGCCAAGTGAGCTTGGGGCAGATACATTCTTCCTACCCAAGCTGGAAGCTTTGGTGGTCTCCCGACTCCTTCAAGAATGTGCAGGTCCAAAGCCCTTGGGCCCAGATCAGTTTTACAAATTAGAACTGCAGAATTTTAGAAAGGTAAAATTTTAGAAAGGTGAATACTGGGAGAAAAACAGTTAACACAGCTGTGCTGAACCCTTATGGGACTGGAAAGGCACTTGCCACTTTGGCTGGTGGCTGGGAACCTGGATTGCAGGGGCGTTTCCACCACCCACAAAATGGGTGTGAATTGTCTGTATAACAATATGGCTTATGTTGAACTCTCCTTTGCCTTCTGGGAAGTTGGAGTCTTGGTAGGCTCCAGGCAGAGGACTCTACACAAGCAGCTCTCAGCAACAACTCCAGGTGTTGCATATCAGACCGGGGAGGGGGATCTCACAGGTGACCCTAGCTTGTTGCCAGGGAATGAAGTGCATCCCTGTGTTCCCCTCCCTGGGAGAATCTAGCAGCCTGGAGCTGGTTCCCCTGGACTTTTCCCCGGCTGCCTTTACCCTTTGTTGACTGTACTGTCATAAATTATAGCCAGGGATGCTACTGGCATCTGGTGGATCAGCAGGCTGCTAAGTACTCTGGAATACCAAGGACAGGCCCCACAAGGAAGAATTCTTCAACCCCAAATGTCCACAGAGCCAAGGTTAAGCAATTTTCCTCTACAACAGGAACAGTGGTGTCAAGCACTTTCTTAACAAGCCAATGCTTTGAAAATTGAAGACAGTTCTCAAAAAAGCATTTCAAAAGTGTTTTAACCTACAGGTGTTACTTTTTTGGGGAAATAAATACCCAAGATAGCTGGCTAAAAAGGCATTTATTTATTTATATTCTAATGTTTAGGGCTAGGGATGTAGCTCAGTGGTAGAGCAGTTGCCTGGCATAAATGAGGCCTTGAATTCAATCCCAGCATTGCAGTAAAAATAAATAAAATTCTGGTGTCTTTTCTTCTAAGTGTTATTATTTAGAACACTTTGAAGGGGGCACAGTCAGTGATATATATATATAGATATATAGATATATATACGAAATATAATATATACATATACACACAAAAGTATAATACAAAAATGTAAACTACAGTCAAAGCAACAGACAGTTGGCTGGGTTCATACGTGCACTGGCCTGTCTGAACTTGCATTTCCAAGTAGCCAACTTGCTACCAGGCAAGGAAGGGGTGGCACACTGAGTACACAAAAAGCTTTTTAAAAACTTCTGTTTGTTCATTCACTCATCGATTCAGGGTACTGGGGTTTGAACCACATCCCCAGTTCTTTTTTTAATTTTGAGACAGGTCTAGCTGAGTTACTAAGTTACCTAGACTGGGCTGGAACTTATGATTCTCCTGCCTCAGCCTCCCAGCTTTTTAGGCAGAGGGACTCATAGATGGGTACCACCATTCCTGGTTGTGAAGAAACTATTTTAGAAGGTAAAATCTAGTAAGTTTCTGTAAAGTTATTTGAATTCAAAAAAGGAAGAAGTCCATCTAATTAAGAGAGAGAAAAAAAAAATCAGAAGAGCAATAAGCTTTGAAAGATAGGCAACAAGCCAGGCATGGTGGCACACGCCTGTAATTCCAGCACTTGGGAGGCTGAGGCAGGAAGATCGTTGCAAGTTTAAAACCAGCCTGGGCTACAAAGTGAGCTCAAGGTCAGCCTGAACTGCATAGTGAGACCCTGTCTCAAAAAAGACAAAAAAAAAAAAAAAAAAAAAAAAAAAGATAGGCAACAGTTCATTAGAAGGAAGGCACGAAGGAAGGAAGGGAGGAGGGAAGGAAGGAGGAAAGGAGAGGGGGGAGGGAGGGAGGAGAGAAGGAAGGAATTCCTGGTAAAAGGAAAGACATGGGCAAACACCCAGAGATAGGAAGGAACAAGGCATGTGTAATGCTATGAGCCCCTCTGCTCATCACCGCTTCCCCCTGGGGGAGGTCTGTTCCTGGGAGGAGATGTGCAGACTACCTCTCCACAATGGGAGAAGACACGATCAGGCTGACAGACTGGGCTTCTCCCCCCTCAGCCACAGCAATCAGCTGAGGGATGGGAATGAGACTGTTCTGGGCCAGTCAGGAGCCCCTGGACGTCTGGTTGAGGTGAAGGAATCCAGTCTCCTCTGGACTCCAGCTTTTAAGATGATAGAAGCCCAAAGCTATGGAAGTCACTGAGGATGGAGCCAACTCAGAAGATAATGGGGCCAAGAAAGAGCAAAAGAATGAGAGAGAATAAATCCTCAGAACATTACTCAGTCTCCTAGGTCAGTGGTGGCCAACCTGCAGGTTGCTTGTGACCACGGAAAGCTCTAAAAGTTTCTTGATATCACTGTCCTAGATCCACCCATGCCTGAAGAAAAATCTTTGGATGTTTTCCAGATATCTTTAAAATCCCCTTTATTTGCTTAGGCTAAAATGGGTTTCTATCTCTTACAGCAGACAGAAGCTTGAGTGACACCATTCAGGACCAATGAACAAGTTTCACTCACATTTGCGAGGGAAGAGTGGGAGAAACAGGTGTGTGTATGCTGTAGGATTGCTCATTCAATACACTCAAGGAAAGACATGTGCAAAGAAACACCATGCCCCCAAAGAAAATATAATCCTGACAACTGAGGGAAAGAACAAAATAGCCAGGAATTCGTTAATGGGCCAGAAAATAAAATGTAAATGATGGCAAGAAATGCCAGCTAGCTACAGATGCTCCTGTCCTCGACACCCACTGCCCACGTGTGGAGGCCCCTCCCACACGCGCACGGGAGAACACTGGACACACACCAGCCAGAGGAGGTAGAGGGCGAGGATGACTTGCAGGGGGGCCGACCAGATCATGTTAATGTACGTGGCCAAGTCCATGAACCTCTGGGCATCCACAGACATGAGGTTGACAATCTCACCAACTGTGGAGGACTTTCTAGCTGAATTGGTGATCACCAGGGCCTGAGGGACAAAGGAGAAGGAAAGAGGTGAATGCGGGAAGTGAAGGGCCCCGGAATCGCCCCGCCCCAGGACCTGGAGAGGACAGCGACTCCTCACAGTGACAATACCATGGATCTTTTCTCCTCCCTTGCCAGTTCAGCTACCTCCTCAGCCAACCTGGGTCATCACTGAGGCCACGTGCCTATCTGCCACAGTCCTTGCCTTCTAGTGGTGAGTCTTTAGTGTGGACAGGACCTCAGGTGCCCTCTAAACCAGGGCTTTGGACACTGTAATGCACACACACATCACCTGGGAAACACATGACCATGCAGTGTCTGACCAGCAGGTCTCTGATAGGGCCTGAGATTCTGATTCCTAGCAAGCTCCAAGGTCCTGCAGATGCTGCTGGCCCTGCATCCCAACAAAGGCCCAAAAGTCAAGGCCAGAGTTACTTTCCTTGGCATTCCCAGCACTGGGGGCTGGATCACTGTTTGCGTGGTTGTCCTGTGTACACTAGGATGCTTAGCAGCATGCCTGTCCTCTACCCACTAAATGCCACATCTCCAGTTGTGACAACCAAAAATGTCTTCAGACATTGTCAACCATCCCTGTAGGGAGCAAACCACCTGGTGGGGAACCCCTAGTCTAAGCCACTAGTTCAAATGTTGTACTCGCCTACTTCTCAACTGCTGTATCTGTAGGACTGTGGGACTCTTTCCAACCTGTGGGAAGTGTCCTTGCCCCCAAAGGCCAAGAAATGGCAAGATCAAGGTTCCTTTAAAGCTAGATGTGGAGGCCAAGGGCATGGGTCAGTGGTAGACTGCTTGCCTACCAACCCAAGCACTGCCAAAAAAATAAATGTGTTAAGAGTTAGATGTATACACATGCAACTCTGTGCTATCTTGTTCAGGGTATATATCTTCTGTTCAGTTTAATTCAAAGGTGAAAACAGGTCACAGAACATTAATAGCACAGGAAGGATCTGAACTCGGATTCCCCACATCACGGACCACCAAGCCCACTATGAACTCAGTTACCCATGGCTGACATGTGGACTCTCCTTTCACATCCCGACCCTCAAACTCTGCTTTGCTAAGGGATAATGCCTGAGGGTCGCCGTCCTCATAAGCCCTGGTTATGTCAGCCCTCTTTATCCTCCTGCTTCACAGACGGGGCTAGACATCCCCATGGAGAGACCAGCCGAGTCCCAGCGGAGGGGATGTGGAAGCTGGCCCTACCTTGCGGTAGACAGCCCCGATGACAGCGGTCTTGATCCTCATGCCGCTGACGAAGCAGATGTGGAAGTACTGGTGCAGCACCAGCGTCTGCAGGCAGGCGCTCACGAACAGCAGCGCCGTGTAGAAGTAGCCCTGCCAGTCTGGGGCTTTCTTGTCGTTGACAAAGTGAATGAGCAACCTGCCAGGGGACAAGGTGCGACCTCAGAACCACTTCAGTGAGGCCCATGCAAGTAGAAAAAAGTGTTTCTGGGTTAGCACTGCCTGGCAAAGCAACCTCTGGCCTCCAACCTCACAGGTACAAAGAGGAGCCCACAGTGGCCATTGGACTGTGCAAGGGGCCCACGCCACTCATCACAGGACCTCTGCTCGGGACCCTCATATTGGTCGCAAGGTTATGTCGCACCAACATCACGTTACCCAGAGATGACCAAATAGAGGACATAGGGACAGAGAAATGGAGGGAAAAGGAATGAGTATGAGGCCCCAGGGAGACAGAGAAAGAGGAGAGGCAACTCCCTTCTGACTTCCTAGTCCCACTGCAGTTTTTTTCACAAGAGCTCACGGCATCTCCTTGCCCTTGGCTTGCCAGCAAATCCCATTCCCTCGCATTTTAGATTAAGCAGGTTTCTGCTACGCGTAGAACAAGATGGCTTTAATGCAAATGGCAGTTAAGCAAAGTGGCTAGAGACAGGGAGGCCTGGCTAGCAGTGCCCGGCAGCACACTGCATGACCCTAAGGCCAGGAGTAAGGTAAGGAAGAGGTCAAACCGGGGGGGCACAGAGGAGCCCAGCTGGGAGGGAAGAGCTCTTACTTTAAGATCTCAGGCCCAGCAAACATCATCAGGTCATGAAGGGCCTTAAATAAGAAGCTCATGAGGAAGTAGGGCCCGAAGGTCTTGTACAACACTTTAAACAGGGAGGGGTCCCGCTCCTTCTGGGGGGACTTGACAATCAGGGCCTCAGCCTCCTCGTTCACATCCACCTTGGAATTCCCCTTGGGCTTGGCAGCATCCTTGGAGGCGGAGTACACCATCTTCACTGGCTGCCTGCAACACAAGGAAGGGAGAGGGTGTGAGATCCGCCACACAGGCAGCCCGTGCCTAAGCAACAGCCAAGGCACAAGACAGCCACCACGGAGAGGCCCCTGAGGACAGCGGGAGGAACCTGGACTCGGGTGCTAGGGTTCAGGTCCTGGTGTGCGACCCTTGTCAGCTGGGCGTTAGGCAAGTCACTCCACTTCTCTGTGCCTAGTTTCCTCATTTGTAAAATGGGGATGGAAGTAGGACCTACCTCATAGGGTGGCTGTGAATGAGTTAACATATAGGAAGGGCTTACAATACCAGCTCCAAACTTACCAAAAAGAAGATATACAGCTGACCGATAAGCACATGAAATATTGCTCAATGTCATTAGTCATCAGGGAAATACAAAGTAAAACCACAGTACCATTTCACACTTACTCAGCCAGCTATAATCAAAAAGTCAGATAATAAAAAATACAAGGATACAGAGAAATAAGAACACTTATACACTGCCAGCAGAAATGCAAAATGATGTTGTCACTCCAGGAAACATGCTGTAATCCCAGCACTCAGGAGGCTGAGGCAGGAGGACTGCTGTGAGTTCAAGGCCAGCCTGGGCTGCAAAGTGAGTTCAAAGCCAGCCCGAAATCCATAGCAAACCCCTGTCTCAAAAAAGAAAGAAAGAGAGAGAAAGAGAGAGACAGAGAGAGAGAGAAAGAGAAAGAGAGAAAGAAAGAAAGACAGAAGGAAAGAAAGAAAGACAGACAGACAGACAGACAACAAAACAAAAACACACAGGAAACAGCCAGGTGCTTCCCTAAAATGCTAAACATAGAAAAATGCCAAACAGTCAACATAGTAGGTTATTCGTTATTTTATGTGGGGGCTACAGGGGAACTGGAAACATGGCAAAATCTAATCCATCTGCTCCTCAGGTATAAGCTGAGGTTCAGAGAGGTCACACTGCTTGTCTCAGCCACAGAGACAGCACAAGGTACTGGTGAGGTCTTACTTACTGTGTTACCACCCCAAACATCATGGCAGCCAGCCTCAGGGCAGGCCTGCGACAACTGATTCCCACCTCCTGGGGTTTGTGCCCGTGGAATCCCTTCTTCCTCAGAACATGGTACTACGAGGAGGGTGAGCCCGGGACTCACATTAGGGGATGGAAAACACTCGCTTCCATCTTGCCTCTCTTTGCTCACTCACTCGGGACAAGGTCAACGACCGTGTCCTAAGGACAATCAGTCCTGGAGAGAAGTCCCCTGGTTTGATCTTGCAAAGAGCCAGCCTAACTCGCAACCGCGTGTGACCCGGAAATACATCCTACAGCCCCTGCCAAGTCTGACCTTCGTCCAGAACTACTGGCTAAGCCATTCCCTAAGATCCAGAGAAATAATGTCAGTCAATGTTCATTTTTATTATTTTAACTGCTAAGTTTGCAGCAATTTGTTATGTAGCAACAGACACTAATGGACACCAGCTCTCCTCTCCCCAGATGCAGTCAGAGCAGTATCATCTCTCATCCAAATTATCTCATACTTCTGGAAGCCTGAAATCTCAAGTGGACCCACAGGGCTGTTCCTTCTGCAGGCACAGGGGAGAATCTGTTCCCTCTCCCTTTGCAGCTTCCAGAGGCCTCCTGCACTTTCTAGTTCACACCCCTCCTTGCATCTTTGGAGCCAGTCACACGAACCTTCTCTCTCTGATTACATCACCCTCTGAAACTGAAACTGAAGCCTGTGACCATACTAGGCCTGCCTAGACGATCCAGAATATCCTCCCCGTCCTCAGACTCTCAATCAGAGCTACAGACACTTTGCTAAGGAAGATGACCCACTCACAGATTCTTTGGACAGGAGGTGGGCATCTTTGGAGAGGAAGGGGTTTATTCTTTGACCACAAGGGTTATTTCTAGTTCTCCTGCTGTCACTGTCTTCCCTAAGGTCCTTCCCTGGTCACTGTACCTCCCTCCCTTGGAGCTGGTTCTGCCTGGGATGTTCAGTACACTTTCTTTTCACCCACACAGGCCTGCACGGCCAGGAGGAAGGGAGAGGCTCTGTATCACTTCCTGAGTGGGGCCCTGGCCTTGTGGGGTGTGGGCTATCCTGACCCTGGGCTGTTCTCAGGGAGAAGGTCTCAGGCAAGCAGGGAGGAAGAGGGCCTGGGCCTGAGCAGAGGAAGTCAAGTGTAGCAGAAGTGATTGGAGAAGGCTGAGTCAGGAAAGGAAAATACCCAGCAAACTAGGAGAGAGGGAGGGAGGGGCCAAGGGGCTCCCAGATGAGGCAAAGGCAAGCAAGACTTCGGAGCAGTACAGCTGGGAGAAGTCCGGAAGGCTGGGCAGGGAAGGTCCGGGCTGGGAGAAAAGCGCCCAGAGCAGGGGATCACAGTGGGCAGGAGACTGGGGCTGGAGTGGGAAAGGGACTTGCCGACCCACCCATCTCAATGCAGGCAAGGGTGGCAATCGGCCACTCATCCGCCAGCATGGATAGAACACTGCGCCAGGCCAGGCACCAAGGAGATCTCCAAGGTCGAAGCGCCTCAGGACAGAAACAGATTGGTGTGCGAGCTGCCACCACCAGGGCTGGCTGGAGGAGGTGACATGTGAGCTGGAAGACGAGAGAACGGATGCAGTGGAGGAGAGAAAGGGTTCCAGGCAGAGCAAACAGAGGGAGCAAGGCCTGGAGGGGAGGCAGAGTTAAGGGCTTTGGAAAGAGGTGAGGCAGCCCCTCTGAGACCTGGAAAAATCGAAAAAATTAATCCCAGGAAGCCACCTTTCTGGACTAAGCTCCTGCCCTGGCCTCAACGGACCAGAGCAAACTAAAAACAGATGAGAAATCAACACACTACAACTCCCCATGGAGTCACTGGCCCCAGAGCTCCGCGGCTGAAACTGTGTGTCTGACCCTGCCTGAAATCAGAACTAGAGGGAGAACAGTTTCCCACCAGCCAGTTTCAATTGGCATAATGAAGTCCCCTCTGCCTCCCTGCTCACACAGGGAAAGATAAGCTGAAGGAACCTGGCATTAACGCGTCAGCTATCTTCCTACTGTTCCGTCTCCCTGTCCCTGCTTTACAAAGGAAGTCACTCTGAAAGGTTCAACTCTGTTTTGTTTTATTTTCTTTCTGCTTTCTCTTCAGCCCTTTTCTGTCTATAACATCAACCGCTTCTGCTTTGGAAAATGTAACTCTATTTTATGTAATGAAGTGTTATGGTTAGTTCCAGAACTGTAAATAGAGCCAACTGAGATTGCTAAACTAAAATGCTGTAATTTTGTTCTTTGATGGGCTTGAACCAAGGGGCCAGATGAGGAGCTCCCAGTGGTTTTGTCATTTGTAAAATAAGATCATTCATGTTTCTGCAGGGGCAAAACCCAGAACTTAGAAAGGCCTCAGTGTCATACAATTCTGAACTGTCTGAACGTACTCTGAGCCTGGTCTCCGTCCCACAATTCCCACGTATCCTAGAAAGGCAGGTCTCGGAGTTTACAAGGTGAATGCACACTTCCGCTCCTCCTAGTGCTAACAAGACAATTTCTGAAAGGGAAAAAGGGAGAGGTCATTTCCCTTACACCCCTATAATTCCACCCAAGGGAAATGTGGAGATAAATTTAAATTGTGTAACAAATACAAATGGCTCAAAATGGAGTTTTTTTTCTCTTGGTCCTGAAAATCAGAGGTTCTCAGGAAGCCTTTGCTCAAGAACAAATTCAAGTTCTTGAGTTGTCATAATGACTAAGCCCAGACACCAGCCCTGTGTCTTTCTGTCCTGTCCTCTGCACATCACTGAACAAGTACAAATATCATACCAGGCACTCATGCAAGCAAAAAATTGGCCTAAAATTATGAAAGTCTAGAATCTGCCTCTAATTTCAGACATAATTCTATACAAAGTGTATATTTTTACACATTTAATTATACAGTAGTCTCAGGCAGGTGTGGTAGTACAGATGTGTAAGCCCAACACTGTGGGAGACTGATGCAGGAGGATTCCAAGTTCAAGCCCAGCCTGGGTCACTTAGCAACTTGGCAAGATCTTGTCTCAAAATTAAAAGTATAAATGGTTGGGGGTGTAGCTCAGCGTGAAGGTCCTGTGTTCAATTCCTAGTACTGCAAAAAGCATAAAAAATAAACAAACGGTCTGCCCTTATCTGTGGAGGACATATCACAAAGGCCTACTGGATGGTTGAAACCCTAGATAGTACTGAACCCTGTCTATACTATGTTTTTTTCCTCCAGGTACATCTATTGAGGTAGAAGATAAAAAGGCTCAGGTAGAAAGGAGACAATAAAAATTCTAATTGTAAACTGTGCTTAAACAGAAAAACAAAAACTCTGGCTTCAGGACATAAGAGTTAACTGCGGTTAGGATGTCTCTTTCCCTTCCAGGAAACTCAATCCAAAACAAACAAACAAACAAAACAAAAAAATCCTCCTAGTGGCCTTAAAGATATGCTACGCCTGTAAATTGGGTTCGTGCTTTCCACCTGTACAGTGAGACCGCCCTTCCTCCCACAGGGCTCCATCCTCAAGGAAGCAGCACTAGTAAGTGGGCAGCGGACGCTGGACACACACACCAAACACGTTATGTGCTGATACAGTCCAGCAGGCAACCTGACAGACAGCAGGAAGGCGTACGCTAGACAGATCACCCGTCTTGAGGATACCTCACAACCACATACAACCCCAGCCCACGGCGCGCTTCCCTCCCAGAGGCCTGCAGCTGCTCCTCACAGAGTGTGCCCTTCTTCACCCACCTAGTTCTATGCCTCTCACGGACTCACCCGACAGTTCTTGCCTGTGACATACATCCACAAACCTATAACCTCTCCTATGGATGGGAGAGTTGAGGTCCCCATCTCCTCTTTGGGGGGACCTCTCTGCACCTCATCCAGTGACACTACACTAAGTTTAATCAGTAAATTAGGCACAGTAAGAGATTTAAAAACCTTGGCTAATAACTAAACACCTTTGATAATATACAGTACTGTAACAGAAGTTATGTAAATGTGGTCTTGCTTTCAAAATATTTCTTTATATTCAATTCAATATCCTCCCGCCTTTTTTGCAGGACTGAGGATTGAGCCCAAGGCCTTTGCACTGAGCTACATCCCACCCTTTTATTTATGTATTTATCTATTTATGTATGTATGTTTGTATGTATGTATGTACGTATGTATGAGACAGGGTCTGGCTACATCACAAGTTGACCAAGCTGGACTCAAACTTGCAATCCTCTTGCCTCAGCCTCAGAGTGCTGGAATTATAGGTGTGTGCCACCACGCTCAATGCTCAGCCTTTCTATAATGATGGGGGATGATACAATGCCTGTATGAGGAAATGAGGACAGAGGCACTGTAAGATAGCATAAGGCTATCACATAAAGATTACTTGAGCATAAGCACCATCAATTTGATAACCAAGAGGGCTACTGAGTGACTAAAAGGTGGGTAGTATATACGGTATGGATACACTGGACGAAAAGGATGATCCACACCCCAGGTATGACATAACAGGATGGTGCAAGAATAGTCCATAATTTCAATCTTATAAATTATTTATTTCTTGAATTTAAGATTTAATACTTTCAAATCATAGTTGACCATACATTGCTGAAACCATGCAAAGCAGAACTACATATAAGGGGAAACTACTGGAACCTCAAATTTTTTAAGAATATAACTTTCGTAAATACTCTGTTTTGTCTGAGACTTCGCCAAGTGTTGATCGTGGTTTTGCAGGAGGATTCCAAGTTCAAGCCCAGCCTGGGTCACTTAGCAACTGAGCGAGATCTTGTCTCACCTCTGAGGGTGAGGATGCTGCTGGTACTTTGATCTCCAGGCTAACACCAAAGGGTTAGTTGGGATTTATACCTGATGTGGCATTTGTACACTAAAATATAAGTTGCTTAATTATAAAGTCTTCACTTTTTAGTTTTTGTTTCCTATTGATTTTTTTTTAAAGTCAGATAGTACATTGGTAAGTTGGTTGTGCATCTGTGCATTTGGGTACCTAAGGGGCATTCTGGAGCAAATCTGCAAATACGGAGGGAGACTGCTCCTTTTTGCTTGTTTTCCTTCACTTAGAGTAACACAATTCATCCTTCCTGTGGTACCAACAGTTCATTCTTGGAGGCCTCTTTGAAGGAGTCCATGAATGGATTCCATTGTTGGCACCCCAATCTGCACACCTACTCACTTATTAATGGGCCATTTGGGTTGTCTCCAGTTTGGCTATCACAAACAAAGCAGTGACAAGTCTGTACAAGTCCTTCAGGAGTATAAGTTCCCAGTCCTCTTGGGTATTTGCCTAGGAAAGGAGTGGCTAGTGGTATGGCAACTATGTCTACCTTTAAAAAAAAAACCTGCCAAACTCTTTCCACAGCCACCAAACCACTTTATACTTATGCCAGCTGGACCCACAATCAAAAATGGCCTTAAGCCCTGGGTGGCTACAGGCTGAAAGAATACAGTCATTTAACAAACAAATGAGGCACTCATTTGTTTTTTGTTTTTGTTTTTTTTTCCCCCGTTTGGTTTGTTTTTGAGACAGTCTTGCTATACAGGTCCAGCTGGCCATGAACTCTGGCAGTCCTTCTGCCTCAGCCTTCCAAGAGGTAAGACTGCAGATACACACCACCATGCCTAGCCAGGCACTGGATTTTAAAACCCAAAGGTAGGAGCAGGGAAGCAGTGCAGAGCAAGCTACTGAGAGGAGCGAGAGGGGGCCAAGAAGCCAAGGCAGAACTTTGCCCATGATCCCGTACCTTCCCCAGGATACCTGGGACTCCCCACAGTCCACAGCCAAGCCAAGGTGCACACTTCCCAGGTTAGCTGGAGAGATGTGGGTGCGAGGGAAAGTGCCAAGCTCAGCTGTAGCAGGACACGCGTCCTCTGAGCCCCTCCAAATCCTCTAGGTTACAGGAACCAGACCTGACTCACACCTCTGCGGAAAAAGCCAGCAGCCCCCACCAAGCTGAGTGCCCTTAAAGGCCACGGCACTATAGCCAGGCCTGCCCCAGCAGGGGTGGCTCTTGAGCCCCATGAGCCAGTTCTTGCCATGTCTTCCCTGGTGACGGAAGTGTCCAGCCCAGGGCTACACTCAGATGGATAAACACGGCTCATCTGCCTAAATGCCAAGGTTTCCCAGTGCCAGGGCAGGGCTGCCAGGTGACATGGAACTCTGACTTCTCCAGAAATCCTCTGAGTAGAAACAGAGGCTCAGAGTGAGGCATGAAGGGAATCACAGGTAGCCCGAGACCCCTATCCATTCTCATCTCCACCATCCACCCTTGCCAGGGCAGGCCAAGTGGCTGTTCTAGAACAGAACTCACATCACACCACTGCCCTACATCAAACCCATCTCCTCACTGCACCTGGAGTCGAACCCTAACTCTTCAGCACAGCCTGTGAGACCCTGGGAACATCTCTCCTGCCCTCCTCCCTCCTGCTCTCCCCACACTACTCCACTCAAGCTTCATGGTCACCTTGCTGCTCCAAGGGTGCCACAGGCCCTTTGCACTGGCTGTTCCTTATAACTGGAAAGCCCTTCCCCCGGGGGCAAACACAGCTCACTCTTTCCTTTGACAAGAGTCTCTGCTTGAATGTCATCTTCTCCCTGAGCCCTGTTATCTAAGCCAGCTGGGCCACCCTCATGTCCCTGTTTTAATCTCATCTTACGGGGTAAAACTGCTCTTCAGTGCACTCTTGGCTCCTGTATCTCCTCTTAAGACTGGAAATGGCCCCTAACAAGGTGCCTGTCCCGAGCCTCAGTGTTGGGCACAAAAGCACCAGTGAGGTGTCTGCTCAGTACGTCCACGCAGGCCCCAGCCAGAGGCAGAGCTTCTTGGTTTAAGTCCCATCCTGTCTGCCAGAGGTCAGCTTGCCGAGTTCAACAACAACACCCAAAGCAGCAGGGGCATCCACAAGGCCAGCTGCTCAGAGTCTTAAAAGGATGAAGCTGAGGAGGGAGAGCCCCACACCGCGGCCACGCTTGCGGGGGCCACAGCAACGGAACCTCTTCTCTTCTGCCCAAACTGCCTTTGCCACACTCAGCCCCACTGGCAGATGAGGCCACTGCAGGCGGGGAAGGGAAGCAACACTCCAAGTCCGCGAAGCTTGCCAGCACACTGGCCTGAAGGTGACCGCGACCGGGTCATCCTAGAGAGCATCTGGCTTCTCCCAAAGCAGAAGAAAATCCACACTTACCTCCTAGACTTGGCACATTCCTTCTTCCAATTCTTCACCAACACAGGCACGACTTGTTCTGATGTGTCCTCCTTATTCAGAGACCAGAGGTCACCGCCCTCCAAGGGCTGCCGGTAGCCTCGGATCATCAACCTGTGGCCAAGACACAAGGGGGCAGGTGGTGAGCACTGGCTAGGGGAGGAAGAGGACAGTGGGGCTCAGCCCCACCGATGCTGCTCTGACCTCCACGATATGGACATCCACCCACCCCACCCCACCCCCGCCGCAACACAGCCACTAGGTGACCGGGATAACCCCGACATGAGGGCCATCAGAGCAGACAGCTACTCTGTCAGGCCATCCAGGTAAATGGCTTCATCTTCAAGAGATGCACATAGAATACTTAGGAGGAAAATATCAGAATGTCTCAAATTTATAGCTTCCTTTTTGTTTTGTTTTGGAAGAGTTTTGGGTTCTTATTGTTTTTTGCAATGATGAGTATGGAATCCAGGTCCTCATCCTGATGAGGCAAGTGCTGAGACACAGCCTCAACTCTAATTAACTTCTTAAATTTTAGATTAGAAAAGGCTAATACAACAAAATATTAGCAGTCACTAAATCTGAGTGATGAGTTTACTGAATTTTATTATACAGGCTGAGTACCCTTCATCTCAAATGCTTGGAAACACTAGTATTCAGATTTCATATTTGTTTCCAATTCTGGAATATCTGCATATATGTAAGGAGATACTATGGTAACAAAAGTCAAGTCTGAGTATGACTTTCATTTATATCTGATACATATTTTATCCACACACCCAGTGGTAATTTCATACAATATTCTTAATGCACCTGAGTTTTGACCAGGACTCATCACATGAGGTCAAGCAGAGGATTTCCCACCTGGGGAATGTCACAGCAGTGTTCAAGGAGTTTCAGATTTCAGAGAATTTCAGACGTCAGATGTGAGATTCTCAACCTGTACTGCTCTATCTATATGGCTTGAATACATTCAAAATAAAAAGTAAACCCAATATTTTTACTTATTTTGAAATAACCTCAAAGTTACAGAAAAATTGCATCAATTATAAAAAGAATTCATTTAAGTTTGCCATATTTGTGATAACCTTCTATCTCCACCTATACCCACACAACTACACAAACACAATTTTTTTCTGGACCATTTGACAACAAGGTGAAGACTCTACACAACCTTGTCCCTAAATATCAGAATGCACTGAAAACAAAGTCACACCCTGATATAACCAGGACACAATGTTTAAAGCAAGAATGTTATCAGCACGGAGACGGTAACATTCAGTCCTTATCTAGACCACAGCCTACACTAACTGTTCCAGTGATGTTCTCTCTTTCTTTTTTCATGTTTTTTGAAATACAGTCTCACTTTGTAGTTCAGGCTGGTCTTAAATTGCCTATGTAGCCCAGGCCAGCCTCCTGCCTTAGTCTCCCAAGTGCTGAGATTACAGGCATGCGCCACCATGCCCAGCTTTCAGGGATTAAAAAGTTAATTTACTTAATGAAGTAATTTGAAAAATTACTTAAAATATTTAAGGACTACATTGACAATAACCTCCTAATGCGCTCCTAAGGATAATGCTTATTAGGGGAAGACCAGATTCAAACAACCCCAGGAAGGTGCTCACAATGGGCAAGAAGAGAGGTGCCAAAGGACCAGACCGAAGTCTATCCAGACGCTAACAGGGCTGCCTCCAAGTGTTTTCCTGCTACTGACCTATGCATATCTTTCTTACCCATATTTCCTATGATGTGTATGGATGATCTTTGTAATGGGAGGGGGAGACGATGCCTTCTGTATATGCAGCTCCCACACCCACAGTTTCAATGTACCATGAAAATATTCACAAAAATGTGTCCGTACTGAATATGTACAACTGTTTCTCTTCTCAGCATTCCTAAGCAACACAGTATGAAAACTATATAATAGTTCCATTTTATTAGGGAAGTGCTCTAGACACGATTTAAAGTATACAGGAAGATGCGGATAGGGTATAAGAAAATACTTCTGTTTTATACAAAGCATTAAGCACCAGAGGATTGCAGTATCTATGAGGGTTCTGGAACTGGTCTCCTTTGAATACCAAAGGATGATTATAATTAGCGTTAAAAAAAACATCCAAATCCACAGGTGAGCCTGGAGCTGGACAATGCCTGGGCTAAGTCTCTCACAGCGGCGAGCTACTTGGTTTTTGTGCACATCACTGGAGTTCAAGAATACGGGACAGAAGCTCAGTGTCTCTGAGACCACATGGCCAGTGCAGGAGGACTCGGGACACACCTCTGCAGGTGAGGGGCAGAGAGCACGGGAGCCACACTGCACGTACTCACCCTCCATCCATCCATCCATGCATTCATTCCCCACCACCTGGCCAAGGATGGCAAGGCGGGGGCAGCCTTACCCTGTGATCCACCAGAAGGTGATCTTGGAAAGGAATGAGGCGCCGGATTCCGGGCAAGGATTCTAGCAGAGAAAAAGCACAGGGGAGGAGATGGAAATAAACGTTAAGCTTTTCATCTACGCCACAGGTAGATCAAGAGCAGTCCAATGCCGTCAAAAGGACCGGCATGCATTCCTATGTTGTTCTGCATCCCACACTGATTCTTCTCTGGAGCCTCAGGAGAAGGAAGCCTGTGGGTGTCTCTAGTTTCACACACACACAATTCCTAAATACCTACTATGTGCAAGTACAAAGAGTGTGCTATGGACCCACCCTGTGATATCTCCCCACAGCAGCCCCAGCAGTTATTACCATCATCCCATGTCACTCATTCATTCAACAAGTATTTGCTGAGCACCCCCTACGTGTCTGGCACTCTACAAAGCACTACAGATCTGCCTTTTCTTACATCCCTATAATAGTCTTAAGGGCTGGTGCTACTGCTGTCCACACTGTACTCCATTTGTTCATTGAGCAAACATTTACTGAGCAGTTACTATGTGCCAGGCACTACACAAAACACTATGGTCATGCCAGGCATGGTGGCACATGCCTATAATCTCAGCACTTGGGAGGCTGAGGCAGGAGGATCACTGAGAGTTCAATGCCAGCCTGGGCTATGTGAGTTTAAGTGCAATCTGAACCACACAGAGAAATCTTGTCTCCTCCCACCCCCCAAAAAAGGTCTTGCATTATTTTATATATCCAGAGAACTCTGTGCACATGATATTACTGTTATCTCCACCTCATTCATGTATTCATCCAACAAATCTTTCCCGAACACCTATGAGCGCCAGGCACCATGTACACAAATCTGAGCAGACATGACTCCTGCTTTCATGAAGCATGTGGCAACAGTTATTGATAACACCTGCTAACCTGCTCTACTAGGTGGCTTGGTGTTAAGGGCTTTACACAAATGATCTCACTAATCTCCATGACTCCCTTGCAAGGCAGGTCTAAGTATCACCCTCATTTTGCTGGTAAAGCCACAGAGGAACAAGGGTGAAATGTCTTTCCCAAGGCCTCACAGCTAAGTGGCAGAGGCAGTATGTGCACCCTAGATGGTCAGGCTTCAGAGAGAGACAGTCAGAATCAAATGATCAAACACAGCACTGCGACTGTGACAGGTGCACCAGCAGTAAGTCAGTGTCACGACCAAAACCACCCAGGTGCTAATGCTCTGCGGTAGAGGGAAGCATAGAGCCTCCAGTCCCCAGGCGGCAGCCTGAGCAGTTTACAGTGCAGACTGCACAGTGTGTACCGGGGGACCACATCAGGAGGGCTGATCTTCATCTGAAGAGTGATGGGCACCAGGGACAGATTCCAAACAACCTCTTTCCTAAAGGCACAGAGACGAGCCCCAGCTCAACAGTATGCAGACAGGGAAAGGGGCAAAGCCAGGGTGGGCACCATACAGCTCAGGTTTCAGCAGTTTGCTGAGATAAGCTCTTACAGAGCCGGCTCAGACAGCACACTCTAACAAGTGTGTTTCCACCCCGGCTGGCAGTGCTCTGCAAAGGCACTACATCCAGCTTCCACCCAGCAGGGATTCAAAGTAAGCTGGTTTGCGATGGAATCAGGCATTAAAACTTTGTTTCTGTTTCCAACTTCTAAATTCTTTTTGGCAGAGGCCCTGGCCAGCAAAGTACAAGATATGCCTGGAACATCTTGTTATACCCAAAGATGATGAGAACTGTTAAAAGGACCCGGATGCAACCAAAGGTGGCTCCTGCTGACCAAAAGAAGCCAATATTAAGTACAGTGCACAGAACATATCACCTGTTTAAATATCGAAGTTCATAACTGATACTGGAAAAAACAAACATCTTGGTGTCACTGATGAAAAGATGTTTAGAAAAAAAAATCTAACCATTTGAAAAGATGCTTAGGAAATGAAGCCATTGTTTTGGAAACAGAGAAAAGGGAAAGAAATAAGCATTACCCCTCCAACTTTTTCTAAATGAATCACCCCACGGGGTGAACAAAGAGAGGAGGGAAAGTATCTTTTCATAGAAAAAAATCCAACTCACAAAAAAAGGAATAAAATAATATTACCTAATGTTCTAATAAACCATTCTGCAACCACAATGGCTTACTGGAACATTTGATGACATTAAACAATAATGGTACTACTATTAAGTTTCTTTAAATCTTCATTTTTCAGATAGTTGGCTCAAGAGTACATGAAAACTCTTATTATTTTTGCAACTTTTTGTGATCCAAACTATCTCAAAATTAAAAGATCAAAAGTAAAGCAATACAATGCATACACTCCGATAATATATACTGAAATGTTTATGCAGGTGATATGGGGTAAAGTCCATGGCAGCTCCTTATACCAGTCTATCCAGTTTAAGGGCTCATCATAAAAACTAAATGCAAAGCCTCCACAGCAGTCCAAACACATGGCCTGTGCTATGAGGGGTGGGTAAGTTCCCAGCCCCGACTACCCACAAGAATCACCTGTGGATTTTGCTGAAGACAGGTGCCAGAGCCCAGCCCAGGCAGATGAAATCAGGACCTCTGAGTTGGGCCCTGGCATGAACATATTTTTAGTACTTTAAATCGATGCTGCTGGTCCAGGGACCAATGTTTCAGACTAACCAAAAGCAAAGTAAACTCAGTCTATGGAGCCAGTAAGTTCAAATCCTAGTTCTGGTATATTTTAGCTGAGTGACCTTGGGCTAAGTCCCTTTGCCTCTAAGCCTTGGTTTACATGGAAACCAAGGAAAATAGAGCTTGGCTTGCCTCATAGACTGCCAGAAGGTCAAGTAAGGTAGGTCCCTGGGGCTGTGTGGTAAGGTGGATTCTTCCAAACAAAGGTAGCAACCTTATTTGAGGAGGAGGTGGAGATAATGGCATTTTAGGGCAGGCAGAAAGTATTTCCTTGCAGCCTGATTATTCTTCCAGAAGAGTGAGCACCTTCCTGCCCATAGCCTGCCCCATGCACAGTCAGGGGGTGGTGAGTTATCAGGGAATCACAAATCCACTGGAACCACAGCCCAGGCCCCACCCACTGGGAAAAGCTTTAGTGCTTTCTGGCAGGAAAGAGGTGAGGGTGGGGAACAGCTGGCAATGACACATTTATTTCTTAGGCAAATATTTGAGGAGGACCTGCTTCTATGCAGGAGGGGGGTTAAGTGCTGAGCACAGGCTATGAACCAGACGTGAGGTCCCTGTCCCCACCCGGGAGACACATGGACACAAAGCAAAGCAACAGGCTGCAAATAAATACAGAACTATAAAAGGTGGGGACTGCCAGAAAGGAAAAAGAAGTGCCAAAGGGAGAAGGGGGAGGGGTGGCTCCAGTGTGAAGCAGTTGTGTCTCAGCTCTGCCATTCAGCAGATGTAGGACCTTAGGCAAGTGGCTTAGTGGCAAATATTATTCTGCGGCTAAGTACTTAGAATAGTACCTAGTTCAGAGTACAAGCTCAAGAAATGGTATTAATATAACAATAAAAACAGTAACAATGGCTTCCATGTATATCAAAACAGCAAGTTGTGTATCTAAAATATATGCAACTTTTATCTGTCAACATATCAATAAAGCTAAAAGAAAAAAAAATAAATGGCTTCCATTTCTTGCAGACCCATGAGTCACCAAACTCTGTACCAGATGCTTTCTACACGGGGGTGGGAGGGACAAACGGTGGCCCACTGGCTGGCTGGCTGTAATGTTTTATTGACACACAGCCAAGTCCATTCATTTACACACCATGGCTGCTCTTAAACTACGAAGGCAGAGCTCGGTATTGCAACAGAGACCACATGGGCTGCAAAGCTTGACATATTTATTAGCTGGTCCTTCACAGAAAAAATTGGCTGATTTCTGCTTATATCAAACTTCACCACACCCTACAACATGGTGATTACTAAGGAGTGAAACCAGGCCTCAAATGACAGTCTTTGCTTCCAAGACCAGTCTTCCTTTCACCTTGGTGTCAACAGAGAAGAAAGGTAGCTAGTGGGGGGCTGAAATGCAGCCTCCTCCCACACTTCCAGGTCCTATGGGCACTAGCCCCAGCCAGGCTAGTCAAATTGAGGCCCCAGCCATTGGGAGAAGACTCACTGCAAACACAGTAAGGTCACATTAGCAATGGAACATTTCACAGTCTCTAATTTGTACCCACAAAGAACTACATCTCATCTTCTCCCAGGCCTCCTCCCTCCTGTGGATCTCAACAGATTTTCAGCCTATCCAAAGTTATAGAAACAGAGAACAGGCCAAGGCTGCCTCCACCAGCAGTGAAGAAAATCGACAGCACCTCTGTGGGATACAGAAAGCCTGATTTGATAACAAAGATCTGTTATGAAGTAGCTGGAGACCAACAGTAAACAAGAGGGTAAAAACCAGGCTAATGAATAAGGATTCTGGCATCATCCCACTCCATGGAATCTATGGTCCACTTCCTGAGGAATTCATGAAGTACAAGAGACAGAGTGGTTAGATGGAGGTTTCCCAGCCACAGAGCCTGAAATCAGCACTTCTGCCCCAGAGGGAATAAGGGAGGCTTATTAACTGGTACCTTGTTCAATTAGAAATGAAAGCAAACACTAGGTGTCATGGCACACACCGGCACTCCCAACACTATGGGAGGATGAGGTAGGAGGATCACAAGTTTGAGCCCAGCCTAGGCAACTTAGCAAGGCTCAGTCCCAAAATAAAAAATAATTTTAAAAAAGGCTGGAGAGAGCCAAGTGTGGTGGTATGCCCCTGTAACCCCAGCACTTGGCAGGCTGAGGCTGGAGGATCGATGCGAGTTCAAGGCCAGCCTGGAGTACACAGTGAGACCCTGTCTCAAAAAACTAAAAAGGGGTTGGTGGGGGGAGGTTGGAGTTGTGGCTCAGTGCAGAGGTCCTGGGTTCAATCCCCAGCAAGAAGGGGAGGGGGAGGAGAGGAAAAGGAGGAGGAGGAGGAGGAAGAAAAAGAAAAGAAACAAAACCAATTCCAACAACTCCTGGGTGAAGGCAGAGGGAAGGCATGTCTGATTTATGCAGCTCCGAGAAACTCACTCTTTAG